AGCTCCTAAACTGAATTAATCCAGTTTTAAGGAATGAGGAAAAAAAAATTTAAAAGATACATTTGATGTGAAGAGGTAACAAAAGAGGATGTTTAGGAAAAAATTTAGTCTTTTTGCTTTTACAGCGTAGAAGAGCCTTGTTTGGCCCCAGCACAGCACGAGTGGTGGAAGAGCTGCTATTTAACACAACTTTCCTGTCCTTTATGGAATAGGGATGGTCTGGGCCCAAAATTAAGTCACAGCTGTTCCAGAAGGGGAGGAAGGGGCACAACACCACTTGTGATTTTTTTCTCTCTTCACTATCTTCACACCTCACAGGTATCGTGTGCCTTCGTTCTTAGTGTTTTACCTAGCTGTGCCGTACTGTACCTCTCCAGCACAAAATTATGTATTATTTTTCCCTGAATTTACCTATCCACACTTCACATGTGTTGTTAAGCTAAGTAATACAGATCATTTACCCCAAAGGTCAGGCAGAAGGGACAAAGGGAAGGACCATAAAACAAATGCCATCTTTGGAACTGAAAACTTGCCAAGTTTTCACTAGAATTTCACTACATTTCACTACAAATGACTTGGAAAACTTGTTCATTTTAATAGGAATTACATAACCTCAAAGAACATAAATATTTAAAGACGGCATATAGTGAGATACCACGCTACAAACATACTTGGCACTGGATTGTTCTGTAAAATATATCACATCCTTGATTACAAACAACATCTGAACAACGCACATCTTTTCCACAGTTGGTAAATACTCTTTTCACACCCTAGTCCTGTCACTGGCACATATCCTCATAGGGAAGAAACACGTTCCATATAATTAGGCCATCCAAACCCAAGCTAGTGTATTTTTTTTTTAAAAAAACGTTATTTCCTTCATTATTGCAAGTGTATTTCGGAGACAGGTTACTGGCTACACATTTTAGATACTTAAAACCTTGAGGAGACACGACAGAGTTAATTTAAGTTACACGTTCTAAAAACTTTCAAATTAAACATAATTATAATCCTGTTCTTGATTAAATAAATACCTAACGTATCAGTCAAACATATATATATTTTCCTTGCGGTTTCCAAATTAACAAAATTTCAAGCAGAAGTCGGAGCTGTATCTTTGTAGAGGTATTTAATTCGAAGGCAACTTTTCTGAGCAGAACAAGAACTCACGCATCACCTTGGGAGAAGCACCACATGGCTGTAAAACAGTGTCATAAAAAAGTGGAAAAAAAACATAGTCACAGCTTTTTGGATGTCAGAAACAAAGTGTATGAAAATGGCAATGATGTGATCTGATCTACCGGGAAGAAACTTGAAAAGATGTAATACAAAGAAAACTGGAATGCAGAGTATATAATGGCATTCCACAGCCACAAACCAAGTCTTCAGGCTTTTTCTTTTTCTCTTTTTATTGAAGGAAAGGAAGGCTGGGGGCTGGGGAGATGAGAGAGGAAGAGGGTGTTTCCAAATTCCCAGTTGTGTTTATCTGTACGTAGATGCTACCAAGAAGTTACCGATCTGTCCAGTCCATGGCCTAAGAACAATCCATTTCAGTGTTTTGCATAAAATAATCTATACATGAGGAATTCACATTTCCAGCTGCTAGTTACAGTGAGCGGGAGACCAAGTGTATTTAAATCAAACAGCACCATCTAGCAGGCCCCCCATAACTTTACTTCAGAGGGCAGTTGCTACTTGGCAATAGGTCAGTTTGGCAGGCTTGCCCTGAAAATTATTAAGCATTTTCATACCGCATGCAATATTATGTGCTTCATCGCAGCAAGAATCCAGAAGAAAAACCAGCTACAATGAAAGAAGACGACTGAAAAAGCAGTTTATAGTTTCAGCCCTAGGACCAGAACAGTTGTGCGTGTGTCTTGCATTGGGCAGTTTTTTGCAAAGCAGAATTAAAAGAGCATGATCTTCATCTGATCCAGCAAAGAGCAGCCCTGTAAACGTGTTTTATCCAGTCCCACAGCGCGATCCTATTGTGCCCGTCAGGAACTTACCAAGCGCACTGACAAACACCTACGTAGCACAAGAAAACGGTTTAATTGTCTGACTTTGCTATACCAAATAAACAACGCTTCCACTAGGCACTTAAGCGGTTATTTTCAAAATCACTCCTACGCTGGGAGTAAGAAGTGCCACTAGTTGATCAGATTTTGGTGCCCAAGTTGCGTCTCCCGCTCCATCTCAGCAATTACCACTTCATGTCCAGCGCTGCCTCTACCTTTACCACCGCAGTTACACGCAAAATTCCCAAACATAACAACACTTTAAATTTCTCCTAGCATCTCCCTCTCCTGCAGCGACGGGGATGCCTGGCCTGCTGCTGCTGTTCCAGGAAGCATGCATGCCAGCCTCTGGAATTAGGAAGTCTCTAAAATACTGTAGCCAAACAAAAAAAAAAAAAACCAAAAAAAAAAAACCAAAAAAAACCCCCAAACCTACAACAACAACAAAAAACCCCAAACTTCTAGGTGAAGGTTCAAGACAAACTGCCTGAAGGGAAACTCGTCAGCCGTGGCCGGAGTCCTGCGCCTGGTGCCACACGCGATTCTGGAGCAATGCGATTTTTGCAGCGGAGAGGTGCAAACCCGGGTTCTGGCCGGAGGTCTCCGCCTCGGGACCCTCTCGGCGGCCTCACCCCGACCTTCCCCCGGCCGAAGCCACCTCCG